CCTTTGAGCATATTCCTAGAGAAGTAAATCAGTTGGCAAGTGCTCTAGATACTTTAGCAGTAATGTTCAAAGTCAATTATTCAAATATTGTGTCCAATATAAGAATCCTTCATTACAAGGAGCCAACACATGTTTTCCCTTCTCATTGTCTCACAACCGAAGATGTGTCGGGTTAAAAGTCGTGGTATTTCGACATCAAAAGATATCTTGAGAAGCAAGAGTATCCTGAGGGTGCTATAATTTGTGATAAGCGGACTCTTAGAAGATTAGCATCCATGTTTTATTGTCAAGAGACGTTATGTACAAAAGAAACTATGATTCAGTTCTGCTTAGATGCATGGATAGACACGAAGTAGAATCCATCATATGAGAAATTCATTAGGGCTCTTTTGGGACTCATGCCATGGGATATGCTATGGCCAATAAAATCCTACGAACGGGTTATTTCAAGATGAAAATGGAAAGCGATTGTTGTGTGTATGCGAAGATGTGCCACAAATGTCAAGTTTACACAGACAAGATACATATTCCTCCCACTCCTTTGAATGTGAAAACTTCACCATGGCCCTTTGCAATATGGGGCATTAATATGATTGGACGAATTGAACCAAGCGCTTCAAATGGACACAGGTTCATTCTCGTTTCTATTTACTACTTCACCAAGTGGGTGGAAGCGGCTTCTTACAAGAATGTGACCAAGCAAGTCGTCATTTTCTTCATCAAAAAAGAAATCATGTGCCATTATAAGACTCCTAACAAGATCATCACTGAAAACGGGTTGAATCTCAACAACAAAATGATGAAGGAGATGTGTGAAGAATTCAAGATTAAGAACCATAATTCGTCTCCATATCGGTCGAAGATGAATGGTACAGTCAAAGCAGCTAACAAGAACATAAAGAAAATCGTCCAGAAAATGGAGAGAACATACAAGGATTGGCATGAGATGTTGCCTTTTGCTCTACATGGCTATAGAACTCCAGTGTATACTTCCACTGGGAAAACTCCTTTTTCACTAGTCTATGGTATGAATGTTGCTCCCAGTCGAAGTGGAAATTCCTTCATTAAGGGTTCTGGAGGATACCAAGCTTGATGAAGCTGAATGGATTCAAACGAGGCTCGACCAACTCAACCTCTTTAAAGAGAAACTCCTAGCAGCCATTTTTCATGGTCAGTTATATCAACATCGTTTCAAGAGAGCATTTGACAAGAAGATTTGACCTCAAGAGTTTCACACTTGTGACTTGGTCTTAAGGAAGATCCTCCCAATTCACTTTGATCTAAGAGGCAAGTGGAATCCTAACTATGAGGGACCATACATCATGCAGAAATCTTTCTGAGGAGGTGCTCTAATCCTGACAGATATGGATGGGGAAGACGTTCCACTTCCATTCAACTCAAACTTAGTCAAAAAAGAATACACATAAAAAACCCGCTAAGTCAAAAACCTAAAAGGGTGGCTTAGGAAAAAATTAGGGCTAAAAAGAAATAAAAAAGTATAACCCACTAAGTTGAAAACTCGAAAGGGAGGCTTAGGAAAAAATGGGTATCCCGGTGGATTAAAAACCCGAAAGGGCGATCCAGGAAAAAATTAGGGACTAAAAGAGAGAGGCTGCGATCTGAAAACTCTTCATGAATAACAGTATACACTCTTGACAGTGGATGGATCAATTCGACTATTACCCTTCAGAAGCAAAGAATTAGGATGATCAAGGATACATGAACTATAGCAATATCAGTTTTAATGGAAGTTTGAGACTTTTTTATTACCATTTCACCTGTTGTATTCTGTCTTTTCTTTACAACTGCTTTATTTAGGAGTTGTTTCCTTGTACGAATGCTTATTCACAGGCCAATCTCATTAACAAAATTGCCTTTTCACCAAAAAAGTTTCTTTGATATGTCTACTTTATTTTTCGTATGCAAATTGTGATTTAAATTATTTTATAAACATTGCATTTAAAACAATAAGGTAATAATATTCACAAGCTAAAATGTGAAACACGGTGTTACATTTACATGAAGGCATCCCAAGGGAGTGCCATGGCATTAAAATTTTGTTTTTCTATGCAGGTAGCAAGTTGTAATGTTCACCTCGACCTAGCTTTTGTCATCGTCACCCCCTGCAGACGGTTAAGCATACGACTCTCCAACATTGAGGAAACTTGGGGCATTCTAGGAGTTCTATGTCTCTACCCAGCCATCCATAAGCCGTCTAGGATGAAGGGAAAGTCAAATCAAGCTACTCCTCCCCGCCAATACTGAAATTCAATCCCCAACAAGGTTATAACTTAATTCTCGAGTTTTCAAGCACAAATTTGTATTGGTATCTCAAAGATAATGGGTCCCGGACCCCGATGAGCCTAATATTTGGCACTCTGCAATAGTAATCATCACTGCATATTACATTGCATCCTCAAATGCGTAGCATATCCATTGAAATGGATCATTACAACATACACTTCAAAATGCATACGAAGCATAAGCCAGATTTGGTACCTTGCACGAAAGCCCAAATCAATCCTCAAAACAGTAATACATCCCCACAGAGAATTCCATCCTCACAATTCCCAGTTGACATCTTATACAACTCAAAAATGCATGTGAAGCATAGGCCATACTCAATCCCCAATCAAAACAATGGTGTGTCTCCATAAAGGATGTTATCCCCATAAATCTCCATCTGATATCTACAACAGATTTCCCAAGTTACTTCATGCAAAAGACTTGCTCATCAGTGTCATACAAGACAACAAATTAACCCTCAAACACTCGTTTTTGCCTCTCTTTCAAACACTCGTCCATTTTAATGCTTTTTGATACTCGTCTGTATCTCATTTCAATATTCATTTTTATTGATATTCAAACACTTATCCGTGTTAATGCATTTTGATACTCGTCTGTATCTCATTTTAATACTCATCTATATTGATATTCAAACACTCGTATGTGTTATTACTTTTTTTATACTCATCCCTATCTCATTTTAATACTCGTCCATATTGATTTCAAACACTCATTTGTGTTATTACTTTTTTGATACTTGTCTGTATCTCATTTCAATACTCGTCCATATTTATCTTCAAACACGCGTCTATGTTATCAATTTTTTTTATACTCGTTCGTATCTCACTTCAATACTCGTCCATATTTATCTTCAAACACTCGTCTATGTTATCACTTTCTTTTTTGATACTCGTCTGTATCTCATTTCAATACTCATCTGTATTTATCTTCAAACACTCGTCCGTGTTATTACTTTTTTGATACTCGTCCGTGTCTCATTTTAATACTCGTCCATATTGGTTTCAAACACCCGTCCGTTATTACTTTTTTGATACTCGTCCGTATCTCGCTTCAATACTCGTCCATATTGATTTTCAAAACACTCGTCTGTGTTATTACCTTTTTGATACTCGTCCGTATCTCTTTTCAATACTCGTTCGTATTGATTTTCAAAACACTCATCCATGTTATTACCTTTTTAATACTCGTTTGTATCTCGTTCCAATACTCGTCCGTATTGATCTTCAAACACTTGTTCGTGTTAACCTTTTATTAATGATCACACTTGTTTGTGTTAACCTTTTATTAATGATTGTTTGCATCTTCATTTAATACTCGTCTGTGTCGATCCTTTCTTTAAATCCCCAACATATATCACAAATAATAACACTTACACCATCTCTCCAGGAAAAATTTCAGGTCTTGATATTTAATCTTCTTCTACCTTGAATGATCAAAAGGCTGACGCCAATCTCACTTTCAGGTTTAAAACGATTAAATAGAGACATATGTCATACCGAAAATTTGTCCTACCCCTTTTGATTGTGTCCGGCTTAGTCTTTTCATTTCATCTACATCATTTTAACTAAGTCCATTTTCATATCATTCCTTCATTCACTAAGGCAGCAGTTCAAAGCATTAGTTGGTTGTGCCAGCTAAGGTTTAATATTGGTTTGAGGTTTCTACATCCAATAAAGGTGATTTCTTTGTATATTGAGGATTTCTTGTCCATCAAAGCTATAAGGCTATTCTCCTCTCCTAAACATTAAGGTTCAAAGTTTTCATTTCAATTGAACAAGAATGTAAGTTTCATCAAAAATTCCATTCACCATCAAGGATGAGCTGAGATGCGTATTTTGACTGACAAGTGCTTTATTTTCAACGAAGAGATTTTGTCTTTGGCTAGAGTTTTCTTTAAGAAATTTTCAGAAATTGCATGGTTTATATGGATTTATTCTTTGAACTTTTTGCAAGAAACATTCAAGTTGAGAAAGAAGCAAAGTTGGAATTAAAGTCATGACATGACAAACTTTGGTTCAAGAATTGGTTTTCAATATTTTTATGAGTTGAAAAGATGAAAAAGGAATGTATTTCAATTTGGTCCAAGACAATTCAAGTTTCCAATATTTGAGCCTCATTTGAATTAAAACATGATAAAGTTGTATTTGGTTCATGGTTTATATATGTTACAATTCTCATGAACCAAATCAAATTGACAAAGCTAATTCAAAGTTCATGGTTTTTCATATATCTTAAAGCATGTTCAGAATTCAAGTTCCATGAATTAATTCCACATTACTTCTTAAAGTCGCAAGAACAAAGTTCAATAATTTTCTTTAGGTATATTACAATTCAAGAATAGTTCAAGTTTCTACAAAGATCAAATTTATTCATCAAGTTATTTCAAGTTTCTACAATTTTTAAGTTACAACAAAAGGAAGATAAAACTCAAGTTTCTATGCCTAAAGCCTTGATTCCATCTCTTGCAAGATTTCAACAATAATACCTTTACCATACTTTGAATCATGTTGCTTACAAAGTTACTAAACCTAAACCTAATCCCAATGTCCTAAACCAGCCCCATAAACCTCCAAGAGCCTACTGCTACTGCTATTCCAAACTAGTCTGAAACTTCTGCTACCGCTATGCTGAAAAAACATGCCATATCAGTCCATAAACAAAAGTCCAAATGTTGCTGTCCAAAAACCAGTACATCAAGTCACTCCTAAACCTGCACAAAAATAACCTACAAAACCTGCCAAGCCACACAAAAGCAGTTCATTAAAGCTGCAAACAAACTTGCAATAAACCATGTCATGTTGTTGTCCACAATAAGCCAAGAACATGTTATTGAAAACAGGTCCCTGCACCACTACATGACCAATCCAAAACCTACACCCATAACCAGTCCAAACATCCAAAATTGCATAAAAATAGAAAAAAACAAACAACATCAGAAGAGGAACTAAGCAGCATACCAGAGTTGTTCAAAAGCTATCCTATTTTCTCCCAAAAACCACACTTCATTCACCTATGAAAAACAACTCAAGGCTTCAACTAATGATACAAGAAAAAACCAACAATCTGATAAGAAAAACCTTCCCTAAACTTTGCTCAAACATTCTCAAACCTCTCTCCAACCTCATCTACATACAAAGCCGAAAAACACCAACTGCAAACAGAAAACACAAGACAGAGAAAAATACACCTTAAAAATAGAGAAACATAGATAGAAAATTCACACAAAAAACCTTAACTCCATTCTCCAAAACACATTCCCTTCACAACCCTTCAAACAAGACAAACCTACAACATCACTGAAGTCCTCCACTCTTCATCTTTCTTCTCGACCTATTTTTAACCCTCATCTTCCTACTACACCAATTCATTAACAAGAATCCTCACCAACAAAAAAAAAGACAAAAAGCTTATCATCCTTACCTTCAACACCTCACCCTGAAACTTCTCTCAACCTTCATGCCACCTCAACATACCTTCATATCTCCAACGACACTAACCTTTGGCAATACCAGTTTGCATCAACTCACTCAACATCACTCAAAAGTTTACTCAATAACGAATCTGCGACAACCAACAACAAATATTTCGCAGAAGAAGATTACACATAATTCAAAACACAACAGAAGTTCAGAAGCAAAACAAAGAAGTACAAGCAGGAGAATGTATGAAGAAGAATAAAGACCAAAAATACCTTGAAGCTCTTGGTCTTCTCAAAGTCATCCTTTAGTCTGAAAAACCTCCAGTGTTACTTTGGTCGGTAAGTCACCATTCTCCATCTCTTTGTTCAATTTTCTCATACTACATAAGGGGTTGAACATCACTGAGGCATATCCCTAATGTCGATAAACGAAACTCATCATCAGGACTGTTTAATTAAGTTTCCATTGGCTTAGGGTTTCCTTTAGGTTTAGATGTAGGACGGATTGGGGAGAGTGAGGTGAGAAATTGGTAATGAGAAGAAGTATGATTAAGAAGATTCTCATGTTGTGTTTGTTTGTGTTTGTTTGTGTTTGTTTTACGGTGAAGAACGAAAAAACAGAATAGGGGAATATTTAGAGATAGAGGCGCATCTGTTAGGGTTCTTTTGAACCATGTTATTTTTTTTATTTAAGCTGGGTCCGGACCTCCTGACCCAGTCTGGCCCAACATCTTTTTTTATTTTATTATTAATCTTTTTTTAAAACTTGGGCCAGTACTGAATTATTTTTCTTAATCCCAAGGAATTCATTCTGTCACCCCTCAAATCCTGTATACATCCCATATTTTAGGTAGTCTATTTTTTTAAAAATAATTTTCATAGTTTTATTATTTTAACCATTTAGTTTAATTTTAAAAATCAATTAAATAGTCATGAATTTTTTATTTATCAATTAGACAATTTTTGGTTGGTAAGTGTAGCTTTCCAAATTAATTTAGTATTTTGTGAATTTTAATGTTTGTTCTAGTTTAGTTAGCAATTTTAGTCAACATGTTAAGTTTAATTTTAATTTTTTAATTTTATCGTTTTATTAATTAATTTAATTATGTTCTTAGATTTATAATTTTCAATTAATTAGTTTAGCTTTAGAATCAAGTTGGCAATTTTATGATTTTGTTTTAATACTTGTTCTAGTTTAGTTAATTATTTTTGGTTGTTCTGCTTATTTACATTTCTTTACTTGACAAAAATCACACCAAAAAAATATTAATTTGCATTTCTGTTATTTTCATTTTTGTTTGATTGTTTGGTTAAAATCTTGATAACATATTTTTTTAGGTGATTCCATGAAGCGGTTAGGTTCATTATATCGTTTTATGTTGAGTTAGGTCTTAGGATCGAAACCTTTGCATGTCAACCTTAGGATAAAATTTCTCCATTGAGACCTCAACCTTAAGTCCATTGATTGCATGATAACATTAGGATAGACTTTCTCCTTTGACTTTTCTTTTTCATTTTAAACCAAAAACTCATTCTTCTTTAGTCAAAAAACCGAAAACATTTAAGCATATCAAACCCATTTCAAAATTAACAAAAACACAAACCAAATCAAAAACCTTTTGCCACTTGACTTTTCTATTTAACCTTTTTAAAAAGGACTTGTTATTTTCGTTCTACCGCGATACAGGTAGTGCATATTGCTAGAACGCATGTGCTAACGTCACCCACTAAAAAACAACAACAAACCAACATTTTCTAGAAGAACTACGGTGTTCTGATTCCTTCATGGGATACTTAGGCAAAGGGTTGCGAGACACTCACGAATACACTAATAAAAAACCATTTCATTTTCCTTAGCAAGTATAGTTTTAGATAGACACACCCTTAGAAACAAACAATCAAAATGGATCTCGTTGAGTATAACGGATATGAGGGTGATAATACCTTCCCCCCGCATAATCGACTTTCGTACCCTCTCTTTTGGTCGCAAGACCATCTTATCCTTCCTTGGGGTTTTCTCGATATTTCCCCTTCCTTCGGGAAAAATAAAGTTCAGTGGCGGCTCTGTGTTTTTTGTCGGTCGTGATTTCACCCCTTCAGGTTTTCTCGATGTTTAATGGTTTTAACTAATAATGTTAATAATAGTAATCATAATAATAATAATAAATATAAATAATAAAATAGTAATAATAATCAAATATTTGTAATAAATGAAAATTTAAATGAATGTTGACTTTAGTAAACAAAAAAAACCATCATGAAAGGTCTTCAAAAATAAAAAATGAGCCTGCAAATTCTTCTTTACTGGGCCAGATGAATTGCACCCTTTTCACAAACCCAGCAAAAAACATAATGGGCCTTTGGACAAACAAATTCTCTAGCCCTACTAAAACACACCCCCTTCTATATTAAAGAAAAAGGTAACAACCTTAATGGTTCATGAGCTGGAATGGGCCAATCTAAGAATGAAACCAAAATAAACCCCCTCTTTTTATCATTAAATCGAGTAAAAACTCTTAATGGAAACTCCAACTTTAATGGCCCACTTGCAGCAACATAATCCTATAAAAAATGCACCTCCATCCTATATCTTAAAATGTATCAAAAAACCTAATGGGCCATCATATTTTGATGGTCCACCCCCACCCCTCTTATCAATAACCAAACCCCCAATTTATAATCAGAACCAAGGCCTAATGGACCATCAGATCTTGATGGTCAATATTACACACTTCTCATGCTTTTAAACCCCCATAAAATGATATTCAGAATAAACAATTCAAACAATATGGTTACATTTTTTTTAAACAAAATAGTAATGTAATATGATTATTTAATGGGGCAAATTTGGGGTATGACACCTCTATGGTTAGTTCTAACAGGCTTTCTCTTGTATTGTGCTTTTTCCTGATAGGAATTCCTAGGGTTAGTCCAGTTTTTGGTTTAAAAAAGTTTTGTCTTGAATGAGTCTTAACATAAGTTTCTGAACCCTTTAGAGTCTTTGGTCCATAGGTCCTTTGTTCTGTTTTCTTCAAAACCTTTGACTTGGAGGTCATTGGTTCTGAATTTCTCAGAACTTGTGACTTTTAAACCTTAGGTTATGGTAAGATCTGAACCTTTGATTACTAAATTGTAGGAAGTGAGATCTTCATTACCTTTGACTTTGAGGTCTCAGATGCAAATTTATTCAGATATTTTGAATAAGCAATCTTGGATTCTGATTGGGTCAGATTCTTACCTGTTGTACCCCAAAATTTTCCCTCTTTTCATACACGCATATTATTGGTTTTATGGTTATGGAATAAAGGTATGCAAGTGACGTTTATTTCGTCAATAGATATTCTCAGAGTATTTTCCGTGCTGAAGATCGGTTCGCCGTTTTGCAACGATTCGGGGTTTAAAGATTCACAAGTCCAACCCGGCGCGTCATATTCAAGTGTTCCTTCGCCAAGATATCTCTGATAACGTATTCTCAAATTCAGGTTCATCTCAAGAGTCAATTCTTTAAAGAAGGTATCCGAATGTGTGAGTTTTCTCGAAGAAATATGGTGAAAAAGTGTGTTGAAAGTGCAGTTTTTACGCGCTAAAAAATTCATAACTTGAAGATCGTGGCTCGTTTTGAACCCGTTCCAATGGCCAAAATTCCGTATTGACATCATCTACGTTTTCATCTCTCACGGCTGGAAGCCAATTTCGATTAGAAGGTCTTCAAAAATGCGGACTTATCAAGTATTTTCGTACAGAAAATTTGTGACAGAAATTTATTTGCGTCATGTTCAGAAAATCATAACTTGGTCGATTTTCATCGTATCGAGCTGGTTCCGGCGCCAAAATTTCACAATTTGAGTTGCCTACATTTTCACAGGAGGTATCGAGTTCGAACGGTATTCAAAAGGCCTTTATTTTTGCTCAGAGTGCATGTGACGCGCTGAAAATCCTGAATGCTGAATATTATTTTATCTGGGTCGAAACTTCGGAAATTCATAACTCGGTCAATTTTTATCGGATTGGGCTCATATTTTTACACAAGGTCAAGGACTCAGAGATATACAACTTTGCTTCAAAAGTCGATACCAAATTATGCTCCGATCAATACCATTTTTTTATTGAAGAACGTGTCAGAGTCGACACTAGAGCCCAAAATAAGTTTGTCTGAGCTGAAACTTCAAAAATTCATAACTAATTCACCGTTTATCCGATTGAGCCCATTTTCGGACAGGAGTTAGTTCTTGATGTCGGCTACATTTTTTTTTCACATTTCAACTTCAAAAATTGCACTTAAGCCCCAGCGATTTAGCCTGGAACGTGACGAACTCAAGTGAACATTGGAGGCCCAATTGCACATTCAAAGTCCATTTTTTTCTCTCTAATTTCTATTATATAATCTCATTCTTTTCACACAAACGAAAGAGGAGGAGACAAAAAAAAGTCTTCGCCACAACGCTGTCAGAATATCAAATTCTTTCAAGAACCCTAAAACCTTGAAATCCTTATTACAAATCCCCATCTCACTAC